TGGGTCGGGGCTCTCCACCCTGATACTGTCGGGACCGCGAGCCAGCCCTCTCCGCGCCGCCTCCACGTCCACGGGCAGGGTGCCGATGAGAACGTAGAAGAAAAATTTCTTTTATATATAGAATGCTTCAACCACTGATAAGGTAGGCATGGGGACGAACGAATCTGTTGGCTAAATCAAATTTATAAGGCCACCACACTCCGGAGTACTTAATTAAACTTCTATGTTTTACCTGTGTGCTAAGGTCTTTTCTGATCCCAGTCTTCATCTTGATCGGGTTACAATAAGCTCTTGAAATTACTGGATTTCAGATTCGGAGCCCTGAACAGATACATTAAGTAGCTGCATGGCCCATTCCTAATATGTGTGGTAAACAATGGCATGGGCATGACTGTGCAAATACTAAGAAAATGATCAGAAATAGCACAAGGTTTCCCTGAAGGTAGAAGCTGGGAAAATTGTGAGTCATCCAGTGTAAGAACAAGATTCTGGGTGACTGCAAGAAGTTAAGATGGTTATGAGAGTGCCTTTCATAGAATTTGCTGTGATTAATGCCTGTCATAAATTTAAATGTAGTTATGGTGTGGTGGGTGACTGAATAATATTTGCATTGTATGGCACTGGAGGCTAATTTTTTTCAGTATTATCTGTTCCTGAGTGAGTGAATAATTTTTTACACGTATTTTAAGTGTAGGGAGTTCTTAAACATTTTAAAAATATTTTTTAACTTACAAATTTTGTTTTAAAATTTTTTTCTTAAACACATAAGAAAACATTGAGTTTACCTAAGTGTGTGTGTGAGAACACGAACCAGTCTTGAATTGCAAATAATGTGTTTCAGGATCAGATGCATTTAGAAAACACTGAGGTGGGCTGGTTCTTACTTGGATTCTTTTGGTTATTGAAATAGGGTTTGTTGATTTTATGGTCAAACTTTTTCTCTGACAGGCCAGATAATAAATATTAGGGTTTTCAGGCCACACAGTCTCTGTGGCAATAATCCATCCCTGCCATTGTAACATGAACTGTGAACAAATAAAATTATTTTGGGACACAGATGTTTTAATTTCATATTGTTTTCACATAATGAATTAATCTTTTGAGTTTTTTCATTTGTAGAAAATGTGAAAACTATTCTTAATACAAGCGTTGTACAGAAACAGACAGCAGGCCAGATTTAGTTGTGAACTGTAGTTTGCCAACTTCTGGTGTTGGTTATTGATTGGAAATTTTAATTCAGTAAAAGAAGAAATATTTTTCCTTTTATCAACATATGTCCAAATTCTTAGGATATTTGTTCACTTACATATTTTTACTTTTTTATTTCTTGTGTCTCAGGATTGCCCGTGAAGAAAACGGGGTATTTCTCTGAGGCTATATCCTGCCTGCCTTGATTGTCATTTCTTGAAGTAATATAAATCAGGATGTCTGCACAGTCAGTGGAAGAAGATTCGATACTTATCATCCCAACTCCAGATGAAGAGGAAAAAATTCTGAGAGTGAAGCTGGAGGAGGATCCTGATGGTGAAGAGGGATCAAGTATCCCCTGGAACCATCTCCCTGACCCAGAGGTTTTCCGACAGCGATTCAGGCAGTTCGGGTACCAGGATTCACCTGGGCCCCGTGAAGCTGTGAGCCAGCTTCGAGAACTTTGCCGTCTATGGCTCAGGCCAGAGACACACACAAAAGAACAAATCTTGGAGCTGGTAGTGCTGGAGCAGTTCGTTGCCATCCTACCCAAGGAACTGCAGACTTGGGTTCGCGAGCATCATCCAGAGAATGGAGAGGAGGCAGTGACGGTGCTGGAGGATTTAGAGAGTGAACTAGATGACCCTGGACAGCCGGTGAGCCTCTGCTGTCACTTTCCTGGGTCAGAAGCACTGGTCCACCAGTAGGCAAAGCTGCTGAATTAACTCCACTTAACTGCAGTATATGCTTTGTATGGTTTCTCTTATGTATGGTTGGTTCTGATTTTCATTAAATTCCTTATCAACTGAACCAAATCTTATTTCTAGGTTTCTCTCCGTCGACGAAAACGGGAAGTGCTGGTAGAAGAGATTGTATCTCAGGAAGATGCTCAGGGATTACCAAGTTCTGAGCTTGATGCTGTGGAAAACCGGCTCAAGTGGGCATCCTGGGAGCTCCATTCCCTAAGGCACAGTGGTAAGGACCAGAATTCCATGTGGGTAGAGGTGAAAGAGAGTGTGGGCCTTTCGTCTAGAACCCTTTGCTTATTCTCGTGTGTGTGTGTGTGTGGGGGGGGTCTTAGACTGGACACACTGTAGGAGCTTGATTCTTTTCTCATAACAATTGGGTTGTTGACCTCAGGTCTTTTATTCCTAGACATTAACATCAGCCTTTTCTTTCCTTCCACCTCTTTCTTGAAGACCTGCTCATTTCAGGCTGGCTGGCATTTGCTTTACTCTCAGCCAGCACCTACCTCTAAGACCAAAATATAGGTCTCTGTATTTTGCGTGCAATATTGCATGTTTGTCATCTGTTCCATGCCCTTTCAATCTCCTGCCTAATCTTATTGGTATAGTAAACTTATCTGAAGCCTCTTCAAATCTATTCTTTTTATTTATTGTTTATTACTGAAGTCTTTCTAAATTTTCAGCTGTATCTTTTTTCTTCGACATCCTACCTAGAATCATTTTTTTTCTAAGATTCATTTGTAGAAATGATATTTGGGTAAAGTTCTTCACCTTTGCTAAGGATTCGTGCAAAAACAGGCTTCCTAGCTATAATAAGCTTTAAATACAGAAAAATTAGACTAGTCTTTCCCAGTATGTTTATAATTAATGCCACATACTTATTTGTATACTTTGATACAACCTAGTTTATTCCTAAAACTACTCGATATATTTTTCTTTTGTATGCATTGAAATAAAATTTTGTTTGAGACAGCTTTGGGAATCATTCCTTGAGGTAGTTGAAGATCACACTGGAGTGTCACAGAATGTGGTCTAAGCATGTTTTCTTCCCATTTGAAGGGGACAGTATTAGTCAGAACTGGTATGGGGCTGAAATCTGCTGAGAATCTGCAATTTTTCATGTTTCATGAAACATTGTTCTGTGCATTAAAGTTTGCAAATCACTATCCTTGGTTTGGAGGTGGCATTTTCTTGGGCAGAAAACTTCTCCCTGCCTGAACTTTATACTTTTCACCTGTCTTTAAGTCCTCATTTCAGCAGTCTAGTCTCTACCACACTTGAGACTTCTTACTGTGCCATTTGTCTCCACTTAACCTTCACACTCCTTGGTTTTTCAAAACTCCAGACTTTACTATTCCCCTCCACCCCTTTATTCTGTCTTTATCAGCCTTCTTTCCTGATGTATTCCTTTCTTCATCATTTATTATAGACCTGTTCACTACCACCTTTCTGAGTGCTGCTGCTCACCCTATAGTAACTGTCTTGCCTTTTCAAGGCTTGAAGTTTCAGGAAAGCTTTTTTTCTCTCTTACTTTTTGATTTTATTTCTTTATAATGAAAAACATTTACTTATTGGGTTGTATATCAGGAAAGTCTTAAACGAAACTTGCTCATATAGCTGCCTGCAGATGTGATGGTACCTCATGCTGATAATTCAGGCTTTTCTTTCACTAGGCACATCTGAGACCAAGAAATAACTCATCTAGGTACCATGAGAAATACCAAATAGGGCAATTTTCTTTTACAGGAAAACTTGGATTTATTAAGGGCATATTGAATTTGTGCCATGACCTGAATTAACAAAGGATGTTCTGAGCTTATCTTCAGCCCCTTCTTGTCAGGATGACTCCTGTGTTCTAATCTTGACTGTGACTTGCCTTGTCTTGTTCATTTCAGAAAATGGTCACTTTCTGACTGGTTGCTTATTTTTTACACCATTGTATTTTGATGTAATTTCTCCCCTTTTCAGAGCAAAAGAATATTATGATGATTTCCTAATGGTCAAACTTATTTTATATTTGTTCTTACAAAGTTCCATCCAGACCTTGCTGCATCTTTCTCCCTAACATCTTAAGACCTACCATCTTTCTGTTCTTTTTTTTCTCATTACTATGTATAACCCACTAGCCTATGTTACTACTTTTATTCAGATTTAATTGTTTAATCCCTCATTATGTTATTTACCTCAGTCTCATAATTAGTCATTTCATTTTTTTCTCGAGAGTAGGCAACCTTAACACTAGTTTTCAGAGTACTGTTTAGAGATGTTTGCAAGCTATTTATTTACTCTAAGTTCATTAATTTTTTTTCTTCAGGTTCCTTTCTTCCAAAATAGGAAATGAGTGATATTTACATTTTCTGTTTATTTCAGATGATGATGTTAGGACTGAAAATGGAGCATTAGCTCCAAAGCAGGAGATTCCTTCAGCAGTAGAATCTCATGAAGTTCCTGGCACACTCAATATAGGCGTTCCTCAGATTTTTAAATATGGAGAAGCCTGTTTCCCTAAAGGCAGGTTTGAAAGAAAGAGAAATCCTTCTAGAAAGAAACAACATATATGTGATGAATGTGGAAAACACTTCAGTCAGGGCTCAGCCCTTATTCTTCATCAAAGAATCCACAGTGGAGAGAAACCCTACGGATGTGTTGAATGTGGGAAGGCATTCAGCAGAAGTTCTATCCTTGTGCAACACCAGAGAGTCCATACTGGAGAAAAACCTTATAAATGTCTTGAATGCGGGAAAGCCTTTAGCCAGAATTCTGGGCTTATTAATCATCAGAGAATCCATACTGGGGAGAAACCTTATGAATGCGTTCAGTGTGGGAAATCCTATAGTCAAAGTTCAAATCTTTTTAGACATCAGCGAAGACACAATGCAGAAAAACTTCTGAATGTTGTGAAAGTTTAAGAAATTAAAAAAAGTCAGCACTCAGGTCTTTTTCTTCAGAAATGAAGACAAAATTAAAAACATGGAATGAGACATAATAGTTTGGTTCCCCTATAGGTGTTAGAAAAATCCACTGAGAAATGTAGAAAATTGTCACCCACCATTATTATTTTATCTTGAAAGAAATGGTGTCATACCTGCCTAGAATCTGAAATTTTAAACTTAATTCACATGTAAATGCCTAAATCTTCCATGTGATGTTTATATTATTTTTTCTAAATAATGATCTACTTGATTCTTTGTCTCTTTCTGAAAATTTTCTTTTTTAGACAGATACATTAGTTCTGTGTTGATCATTGAAATGTTCTTTGCAAGGATACATTCCTTTCTACATTAAAAGGCAACAGGAATTATGAAGTCTGAAAACCGAAACCATCTTTTCAAAATTCACTCTTTTTCTTTTTACCCAACTTGGATATGCATTTCAGAAAATAGAAGACAAAGGATGACTAAAAGCTTCAAAGTAAAATTAGAAGTGATGGTGATAAAACATCAAAAAATGAATGGGACACTAAGATTGGGAAATCTATAAAAATACTTTGATCCAAGAATTGAAGGCTGTCAAGAATTTATCTAGATGTAATTATCTGCCTGTAGGAAAATAAAAAACTGTGCATCCTATCTGTAATTGGGAGGCATCCCACTAATGAAAATAATATTTTTCCATGTATCATTAAAAAGTGGGCAGTCTAAATAATCGTGAACTGTGAAAGTAGAAATAACACGGGGAGAATTTGCAGTGAATGACAATGTTGAAGGGCAAATGTAAAAGGGTAATGGTCTATCTTGGCTTTTAGAAAACAAAAAAGACTTGAAGATCCAATTCATTATTATTTTGCTTTTGTTTTTGTTAAGGACAGACAAATTCCTGACCAGGTGGGTAACAAGTATCAGGTTTGCTATTTTATTTTTTTGGTAAAAGAGTTGAACACCAGGCTAACAAAGCAGCCGTGTATTCATTTATTATTAAACAGTTTCTACCGACAAGGCACTGTGCTAGGTACTGTAACCCTACCATAAGTAGGTAGGTAATTCTTCCACTGTAAATTATTGGGGGATTGGTACAAAGCTGTTTCTTGTGAGTTAGCCTCTCGCCCACTTCTGAGCAGTCCTGGGGAGAGGTCAGCTCTGAAGTTCCCAGAGCCATAGTTCTCTTACCAGGGTGTTATATTTGGGGGAAAGGATGACTCAGCTCAAATAGCTAACAACCATCTCTCTAGCATTCTTCAGAGGTGATTCCAAAATTCTATCACAGTTTGGAGGTTCATGGGTTTTTAAAAAACTAATCAATCTCTAGTAGCATTGAGGTTATACTTACATGTTAAGTTGAATTAATTGTTCTATTTAAAAAATAAACGACTAGGTTATTAACAACTAGTTTATTAACTATCAGAATTGATTGAACTATTTTTTTTAATTTTAAGTCTTAACACATTTTTAAAAATGTATAAAAGTAATACATTGTAGTAGTAGGATTATATACTCCTTGGCTGAGAATCCCAGGTACTGTGATTCTACTGTTTAGTGGAAAACTCTGGAAGTTAAAATATAGAATATGAGAAAAGGCTTTTTTATAGTGGGCATCATTATGTAGAAAATGACCCATGTGAATAAATATTTCATAGTTCCAGAGATTTTTGGTTACAACTGGTGCTTGGATCAAATTTGAAAAATGGAAGGTGAAATTTGCATGAGCCTGTTAAAATGCATAGTAATAAATGCAAGGCCAGCTGGTGGAGAAGTAAGGCAGAATGGAGTTTGTTTATAGATTTTCTGATAATTATAAGAAATGTGCTTTATAGATTAAGATTTATTGAAGTATAAATATGTAGTAATGATAATAATGTATTTTAAGTTATACAAGAAAATGTAGGGACTTTTGTTTGGGTCTTTTTCGCTGGCTGAGAGGAAACAAGTCAATGTCCAATAAAGGTATAGATTCCTCTGCTCTAAGATAAAATGATCTTGAGTTGATTGATTGATCGATTACTGGCTTCTTTCCAAGTAGGCTTTGAGGTAGCATATTTGGAATTCTGCTGGGATGACAGAATTCTTATATCCGAGTAGATAAGAGGGGATCAAGCTCTCAGTGGCTGAAATTTCATGCTTTTTAAAGATTCTGTATCTTTTCTCTATACGAAGAAGCTTCCACGTGGTAGATTTGTCTTAAATGCCAAAGATGTTTGGTATAATGAGAGTTTAGAAAAAGTATTAGAGTTGGCAAATATGTGTTTGTCTTGCCAGCTCTGATACCTATGGGTTGTTTAGAAAGGATTCTGAGGCTAAGGCAAGGTTCTGTGGGAAAAATGGCTGGATCCAAAAAGACTGGATGATGGTACACAGGGAAAGGAAGTGGTCTGTGTGTTCGCTGTTTCTGATTAGGTTGTATCCCCAGTAGAGAAACTGATTTAAAATAACTATTCAGTGATTTATGATTTCATCTGTACATTTATTTATACCCACACAGCAGTTCTGGAGGCTGCACAGCTTCTGATGAAGTGATCTAGCAGTTGTCCAGCATTGGCATCTGTTTGGTTAGCAAACAAGCAGTCAGTGTTAATGGCACACAGACTGCTGATACCTACCCAGTAGCCACTGAGCATTTGCTCATTACTGATCAAGTTTTCTTCTGGTTTTCTTGGAGGTTAAGCTCCTACGTTCACACCCAGTTGGCACTTGGTCATTTAGCCAGTATGTCTACCACATCTATGTAAGTTGAAGGGAGGGTTATATGTATTGAGATAATCTGCATGCCAGGCATCAGATTAGACACTATCCTGATTTCACTTAGATTTGTAGACTAGAAAAGCAGGATTCAGAGATCGTGTCACTTGCATGTGACCAAGTAGGGCTAAAACTGAAACTTAGTTCTGTGAACTCTACAGACATAAATTTTTCCACAATGCCATGAGCTGTGGCTGTTAAACCTTGACATTAGGTTTTATCTTTTATGGTTCAGGTGTTTTTATCTTTTATAGTTAACAAATGTGAAAGCTATTAAACTTGCTCATTAATATTTTCTATAGCACAGAATATAAAGTGAGAAGGACATTCCTTTTCATAGTCCTACTCAGAAGTAAGAAATACTCGGTTTGTTATTCTTCCAAACCTAGGCATACACAAATTTAAACAAACGTGTTAATAGCCCACATTTGTGGTTCCTGTAAAGACACTATTTGAAGTGCTTTACCATGGATTAACTTAATACAGCACCCATGTGACGTAGGTACATATCCCCATTTCTCATGTACTACTCTGAAATTTTCCTCTCCTCTTTCCCAGTTTGATACAGACATTTTCATGGCTACATATACTATTCTATTGCATGAATATACTGTAATCAACCCATGGATAATTTGGTTCTTTCCTTTTTTAAAAAATTATACATAAAGGTATAGTTAAGATCCTTGTACATATATTTTGCTGCCTGTGTGGGTATTTCTGTAGGAAATTTATCAATACAAGTGACTTTTTGGGGTCAGGGAATGTGCACATTCAGCATTTTAAGAGATGCCGCCTAAAAGATTACCAATTTACAGCAATTTACAACTCCATCAATAGTAAGAGTGCCTGTTGGCTGGCCTACACTCCCACCGATCCTGAATCCTTAAATATTTTTGCCAATCTGATAGGCAAAATTTATTTCCTTTCTTTGATTATTAGGAACATTTCTTCATATGTTTATTGGCTATTTGCATTTCCTGTTGTGAATTGTGTTTGCCCATTTTTCTTTAATTATGAAAGTATAAATGACTACTAGCTCATTGTACAAAATGTAAATGATACACACAGGTATAAGAACAAAGAGAACCTTTTCTCCAGCACTTCCAATCACATTCCACTTTCCACAGTTTAGTATACATCCATCTAGTCCCCTTTCCATACATTTCCATATGAATATGCATAAACATATAAAGCTATTTTTACATAAACAGGATTATATATGTACTGTTCTGTAGCTCCCCCCACCCCTTTTTGTCTTAAAAACCTATCCTGAGGTCTTTAAATTTCTTTCATGGTTGAATAGGATTCAGTATTATAAAAATACCATTGTTGAAAATTTCCCTCATTTTCTCTCTCTTGCTGTTACATTGCCAAAGTAAATCTTTTTTCATATATCTTTGTACATGTGTGTGAATATTTCTTTAGGATGGAGTTGTATAAGGTGGATTGTTGGATCAAAGGGTGTGTTCTCTGATAGACCCACCTTAGCCTTCCTAAAGGCCTTTATAACTTTGTATTTTACCAACTGTATGGAAAATGCTCATTTTCCCACATAGCCTTACCTACATGTGATCATTTTATCTGATGAGAAGAAAAAAAAATCCTTAATTGCATTTCCCTGATTAATAGTGAGGTTGAGGTTATTTTCATATGTTTATTGGCCATTTATAGTTTTACCATGGATTGTTTGTTCATATCCTTTACCTGCTTTCCATTTGGGTTATATGTGGACATATGTTGTTCTTGTTTGTTCATCTCTTTTCCCGCCTCTGGTAACAGAACCCTTATTTATTATGGGGAACCCATTCCCTATGGCTTAGGTGAATACATGACCAGGTCTGGCCTTCCTGAGTTCTGCAGCTCCTTAGCTGCAATGATTAAAGAATAGGCATGTAACTCAAGCCTGGCTAAAAAGAGCCCTCAACAGAACTTCTGCAGAAACTATTGAAAAGGCTTTGTGGAGATCCCACGAACTAAGGACTATGTAAGCCTGAATTTGTACCATGTGGAGAGAGTTTGAGGAGAAACGCAGAGGCTAGCAGAAAGGAAAGAGAACTGAGTTCTGATGTCATTTTTCTGGAGGCCCTAGATCCAGCTGTGCCTAAAGCCTGCCCTACCTCCGGACTTTTAATGTTTTGTGAGCCAATAAAGTCCCTTGTTTAAGATAATTGAATTGGGTTTCTGTCCTGATTAATAGTTATTTGTATTTTCTTACTGATTTGTAGAAACCTTTGTAATTTTAAGTGCTAGACTTACACTTTATGCACTATATAGGTTAATAAAATTAGCATGGCCTTCCATGATTTGGCCTCCTGTCAACCTCTGCCATTTGTTACTCCACTCTATACCACACACCACACACATACACTTTACATACAAAAACTGAATAGTGATGTTGGGAATGTCCATCGCTGAAAAACTTTTCACATAATGTCTTCAGGCATTTCTCTTCCTATCCTTCATTACTGGGAGTCTGAGACGGAATTGTGCTGCTGAGTCTATGCTGCACCCACCTCCAACCGTTGCTCTTGGAGCATTCCTCTCAAGTATCTCCTGTATGTGACCCTTGGAGTCCCTCCCCATGACCTCCATCCCCCTTCCATGGTTCTTGGGAGCCCTCATTTTATTTCAGGCCTGTGGATTTGAAATTGTTCCAGCCTAAGACTTCTGGGGTTTACATCTGTTGCTCCTGTGTCTGGAAACTACACGTGACTGTAAAAACAAACATGTCATCGTGAATATTGAGGAAATAAATCAGGTAGAAGGAAGACAAGAATCCAGGAGGAAAGGCACTGCAATTTAGATAGGTTGTTCAGGGAAAGTTGCAGTGAGATTTGATGAAAGACGAATGAGTAGGAGAAAGCAAGCTGAGACTGGAGGAAAGATGTTCCAGGCATGTGCGCACAAGTACAAAGAGCTGGATGTGGGAACAATGCCTCATTTGTTCAAGAAACAGCAACGAGGCCAGTGTGTCTAGAGCAGAATGAATGTGGGGAGAAGTAGTGGATGAAGCCAGAGAGAAGCACGGTGAGGGTTGTGGGCAGGGCCAGATCATGGAAGACCTGGTTGGCCATTGGTGAGACTAGGACTTAATTTTGAATGAGACAGGGAAGAAGTGACATTACTAGTTGCTGAGAACAGAACAAAGTATCCAGCTGTCTTGTTTCTTTAAAGTCTCAAAAATATTTTTTACATATTTTCTTTATGAAGCTAATATAGTAATAGAAAAAGTTTAGAAATAAGCTAATTTTAAAAAGATTAATAAACTTCTAGACTGATCAGGAAAAAATGATAAAAAATTATATCAGGAATGAGGTGTGACATCACCATACAAATTCATGTAAAAAGTTCCAGTCAAGTTTGCTAATCTCTATCCTGCTGATTCCAATACTCATTTATTAGACATACTGCTTGAGCCATCAGCAATATTTTGCATAACACATTCATTTGGCTTCAAGAACACTTTTTTTTCCCCCCTCCCTCATGGGTGCTTCTCAGTCTCAATGCTGATATTTACTCATTTTTCTGGACTTTTATAATTGAGATACCTGAGGGCTCAGTGTTCAAGTCTCTACCTATTTCACTTCCTAGGTTATCTCATCTGGTCCTACGTCTTTAAGTACTACCTCCAACTCCAAAATCTGTATCAGCCGAGGCCTCTTCTCTGAACCAGAGGTTTGTATTATCCCTTTGCCTACCAGATAGCTCCATTTTGATGCCTGCTTTGGTCTGGGTTCTTAAGAAAACAGCCTAAGATAAGAGCTTACTGCTAAAATTTTATTGTGATGTAATCCCAGGAAAGGTTGACTGAGGGTAAAGGGGGAAGTGAAGCAGGGAAGGAGAGAACAAATGGAGTTGTTACTGAGCTGTCTGCATACAGCTTCTAAAGCAGCACAGCTGTGTGCTTAGTCTCACTGAGCATCTTCTGAGAGCAGTGGTATGAACTGCCTCATCTGCACCTCACCATGGGGTAGGAAAAGGGAGACTTTAGTCTCCCCTCTCCCTCTGGTCAGTTTCCTCCATAGATTATCCACTCCAAACTTCTGGTGGCACCATTTAGCCTCTCCAGCAACAGCCACTAGGAAGTCGGGCTCCAAGACAGCACTGGAGGATAGCAGGCCAGAGATCAAGTGGGAGTCAGTTGCTCCCTCTACCTGCAGCCTCATGGGCCTGCAGCCTCAGGATGGTGCCGGCAATTTTAGGGGCGTAGCGGTTTCAAACCAGAAACCTGGGCCCTGAATATAGGAGGTGGCTTATAAACTAAGCTCGCCACAATGACTGCTTAGACATCTCAAACCTAGCATGTCCCAAAAAACAAACTTTTAATTTCTCCCCGAACATATTCTTAGAATCGTCCTCATCTTAGAAAGTTGTTCAAGCCAATAGCCTCCCTGCTCTCCCTACTTCACTCAGTTCTCAACACAGCAGCCAGATCATATAAGTCAGGATATGCCACTTCCCTGCTCAAAATCCTCTTCTCTCTTTAAATGTCAAAGGGGCATTATGTCTGCAACTTTTAAACAATTCAGAAAAAAATGGCATGTGTATTACAGATATATACACATCTGAATAGATAGATATCTCGCCCAAAATATCAACAGTGCTTAGATCAGCTTTTGCCAGGTTTCTCCACTGTAGTTACTATTTTTTCCTGTTCCATATGCTATTCCTTGGAAGTGAGTCAACAGGTCCAGCTTCCTTTAGGGGTGGGAGGTTGGGATTAAACTTCACATCATGGAGGGTGGATAATATGTATTACTTACAATTCTTCCATAAAGATGATTTGTCTCTTCTTCCATATTACATCAGTATATTTGGTTTTGGAAGCTCACTCAGCTTGAATCCTTTGTTCCTTTGACATGTCCCCATTGTATTGTTTTTTGAGCTCTTGCTTACTTTCTTGTATTATAAGATGCTCCAGGATCATCTTGTATTTTCCTTGCCCTATCCCTAGAATCAGCCATTTCTCAAAGGAACCCTTGTTCCTTTTATTTGTAGAATGCTATTTAAAAACCATGATCTGGGTATGTTCATGATTCTGGAGTGTCATTACTTCTACGTCTTCTCAGAGAACACAGGTAATATGTACTAATCCATGTATTGTTTCTGTGTCTGTCCATTTGCATGTGTGTGTGTCTGTGTGAGACCATATTGATATCTGTGACTGATTCTGGTAGTTTTTGGTTAACACTGAATATTTTGCATGAAAAGTTACTGTCCCTGGGTAAGCCTGTCATCCTCTGGAGAGGATTCACCATGTCTTCTCACTGGCAGCTAGATTAGGAACAGATAATTTACTAAAAGGAAGACCTGAGATTGTTTTAGACTTTTTTTAGACTTGGTCCACACGGATTTTATTCTCACTCCTAGAGTAATAGCCTTTCAGTGTTTACACTGAGATTGTGGGGTGATTACAAGAGTACCTCCTACTTGGCATATTCTGTACTCCAATTTTTACTCCCTATCACAGTGAGTTGGCTGAGAGTTCCATATAACCTTCCAGTGTCATTTGGCTAGATTTCTTAAACTTGGGCCCTGCCAGTTGAAGAATCAGCAAATGCTTGGGAAAATCAACTGGCATTAAATATCAGGCCCAATACTCTGCATTTCCCTTCCCTTTTTCCTCAGTATACTTCATTATTTTTACAGTAAGTAGCATTACTTGATTATAACTCATTTCCAAATCCTGGTGAGCAACTGGATTTAGAAAATGGGGGGAGAGTGAAGCATGTAGGATAGCTATGTTATTCAATATGGATAGCAAGATGTTTAGTAGAGCAACTCACCAGCATAGGGGATTCAGGAGGAAGATGAGTATATATGTTAAGTTCATGAATTTGAGTTTACCTGTGGAACGCAGGATGGAAATGTATAGTAAGCAGTTGGCTCTTAAAATTTCATTCTCAAGAGAGATGGCTAAACTTCAGATACAAATTTGATGATCTATTTTCCTTTTTCACCTAACACTTTTTTTCATTGATTTTTAGAGAGAGGGGAAGGGAGAGGGAGAAACATCAATGTGAGAGTGAAACATCGATTGGCTGCCTCCTGCACACCCCCTACCAGGGTCAGAGCCCATTTCAGTGCAGGGATGACACCCAACCAACTGAGCTACATCAGCCAGGGTGTCTTTCTCACTTTTGAAATTCCCCAAAGAACAGACAAGAATTGATTGTACACATTTCTCCCTACTCACTTCTCAACCTATCATCATGTCAATGCCTTCATGCTCCTCTACTTCTGGACCTCATGATTTTATTTCCAGACTACCGAATAGTTTTCCTTTCTGCTCTTTCCTCCTTTTAATCTTAGACTCTTCGTAAAGCAGGGAGATGATCATGCCATACCTGGTTCAAAGATCCTAATGGCTTTCCATTATCTTGAGAGCAAAATGCAGAAATATCTCTACCCCCACCATACCTAGTATTTTGTAGATGACACTACACCTCAGAGAGTTTATGTGCCTGTGGGTTTTACTATCACACTCAACTGTTTTTTTCTTTTACTTCATTTTTATTTCCACTTTATTCTTACTCTTTTAAATACATATTCCATTCATTATTTTCAAAACATTTAAGCTTCAGGCCTTTTTTCCTTCGGCAGCACTCAGTACAGTGCCTGATGCTGAATATTTACTGAATGAGTGAATGACTAAGCACCACACTCCACATCGTTTCTTACACTTCCTTGCTTCTGTGCCTTTGCCGTTCCCTCCCTGCCTTTATGCCCTTACCTCATCCTTCAAAGTTCAAATCTCAGGAGTTCCACACAGCTTTCCCTTTTTTTTCCAATCAGAATTGAACCCTACCTCCTCTGAGCTCTTACAAGTATCTGGTCTATCTTTATGATTACATTGAGCGATGTGTTTTCTGTATACATCAGTCTTTATCACTATACAGTACACACTTTGTTGGGACAGTATAAGAAGTGTTTTGTATACAAACTGTGTAGACTATAACACCTTAAAAAATACCCTGCACATAGTAATTTAACAGTGTCTGTTGGATTGAAATATTAATTGGATAATTCTGGCGGATATTCAAAGTAACTGATTGTAGCTGATTTTTAACAAATGGTTAATACTAGAAAGACGATTTGAATTTTTATTTTTAAAAAACTTTCTATTTTTCACCCTGGCTGGTGGCTTGGTTGGTTGGAGCAAGGGTCCGTACACTAAAAGGTTGTAGGTTTGATTCCCAGTACAGAAACATGTCTCAGGGTTTCAGGTTCGATCCCTGGTCATGGTGTCTGTGAGAGGCGACCAATGTTTGTTTTTCACATCAGTGTTTCTCTCCTTCACCCTCTCTCTCTCAAAAAAAAAAAAAAAAAAAAAAAAAG